GCTCTTTTTCGATTATCGGCCTGCATGGTTACCTGTGCTGATGAGCTGAGCTATCTGTGGTCACCTGTGCTCTCCATGCTGGGCAAACAGGAAATGAAATTCAAATGTTCGCGGGACTTTTCCTGTCTACCTGGCCAGTGCATCCGAGTTCAGATTGCTGTCCAGAACGGTCACAATGGTGCACTGTGGGACAGCTCCCGGAGGCCAATACCATCGAATTGCGGCCACACTAACCCTAATTCGAAATGACAATATTGATTTTGGCGCTACTCCGCTCGTCACGGTGGAGTACAGAAATCGATTTTAAGAGCCCTTTATTTTGAAATAAATGGCTTTGTTGTGTGAACGGGTGCAGGGTTAATTTGATTTAATGCTGCTAAATCCGAATTAAAGTCATAGTGTAGACCAGGCCCAAGGTGTCACAAGGACTCCTGATTGTATTTGGTGATACAGACTAACACGGCTACCACTCTGAAACTTGTAAATTGTAGTAAGCAAGAGCACCCTCTGGACTTTTACTGTGCAGCAGCAGTGTGCACACAGGATGTGGCACTGCACAGCAAAACTAGTGCACTGCAGATTCACACCCTAGCTTGCCACACTGTAATGTCATGTGTAGACAAGCCCTAAGTCTGCTCCTCTCAAGTCTTTGAATGGGAGTTAAGCTGAATTTCTACACATTCACTTTCAGACCCAGGTTCTGGAACAGGTAAAGGCATAACTATGGCATCTGACACCTGATGAGGAGTCCTTCCTTGAACTAGACAGTTATTCCCATAAGGATTTTTTTAGATGTGCAGTAGTGACTGTTACAACCTTGTTAAAAGCCCTCAGTGCAGTCGATAGCTGGAAGGCCTACCACAAACCTTAGGTACCTCTGGTTCTATGGAATTATGCATATATGAAAGTACACATTTTGGAAATCAAGAGATGCAAACTAGTACCCTGGATCCAGAGAGGGAACTATCCTGAACTTCAACTTGCATATGAATCTGTTGAGCTTTCTTAAGTCCCAGATGGGCCACCATCTTTCTTTCCTCTTTGGAATAAGGAAGTATTTGCTGTAAAACCCTTTTGCTGGTAATTTAAAGGTACCCTTTCTATAACTCCAAGAGAAAGAAGCGAGAGGACATCCTGGTGTAATAGGTCCTCATGAGATTCGTCCCTGGAAAGGGCCAGGGAAGGTGGGATGGGAATAGGCACACTGTGAAACTGGATAGAATATCCTATTGTAATAATATCATGACCCATTGGTCTGGAGTTATGGAAGACCAGGCATGCCTGAAAAGGGGCAAATGGTCACAAAGGAAGGGTTGGTGGCTCTGGATCCAAAGGGGTAAGGTGCATGTCTTGACAGTCCTATCAAAATGAATGTTTTGGCTCCAATGCAGACTGTGATACGTAAGCTTCAGAGGTACCCTGTCTTCTCTTATGCTAATGCTGCCACTGGAAGGCTCAGTCAATCTTTGGTGAGAGAAGGGAGCTGGAGCTGAGCTCTGTGGGGCATACAATTTCTGCCTGATTTTTTTTTCTTTTAGGGGCAGGTTTATAGAACCCGAGAGAGCTAGGAGTCACTCGAGAAGCTTTCAATGTATGATGGGCACCATCTGTCTTAGAGATGAACAACTCTGATTCCTGAAAAGACAAATCCTCTGCTGTAGACTGAACCTCCTGACAGTAGCCAGACCCCTACAGCCAAGATGCCCTTCTCATCATGACTGCGGTGGCCATCAATTGTGAAGTGGTGTCTGCTGCACCCAAAGCAGCCTGAAGGATGGTTCTGGCAATCAACTGTCCTTCATTTACCTTCTTTCCCTTGCATCTGGAGGCAGTTTGCCCTGAATGCTGCAAATTTCTCATAGTTCAAATAATCATATCTGGCCATGAGAGCCTGATAATTTGCAACCCTAAAGTGCAAAGAAGCCAACTAATATGATTTATGGCCAAATAAATCCAGTGTTTTGTAATCAGGTTCTTTTGGTGTAGTCTTATTTTGCAGATGTGACTTTTCATCAGCAGCTGTCACTACTAATGACCCAGTTGAAGAAAATTGTTGATGCCTGTGACCTAATGGAGCTGGGGATGAGGGGGTTTGGGGTGTGGGAGGGGCTCAGAGCTGAGGCAGAGGGTTGGGGTGCAGGAAGGCGTCAGGGCTCTGGTCTGGCGGTGCAGGCTCTGGGGTGGGGCCGGGATGAGGGGTTTGGAGTGCAGGAGGGGGGCTCTGAGTTTGGGGGGGGGTTCAGGGACTGGGGCAGGGGGTTGGGGTGCAGGAGTGGGTCATGGCTCTGGGCTGGGGGTGCAGGCTCTGGGGTGGGGCCGGAAATGAGGGGTTTGGAGAGTGTCCTAGAATATAGCATTTACTCCCTTTTTGGCTCCAGAAAAGTCTGGATTTAAAGGCTTTCAGGGCACAGTGAAAGCCATATTGTTTTATAATTTGTATAATTATGAATGTTTAGTATGTTGAAGGTGTTTTATATAGTGGAGATTCCTCTACTACATGATGCAGGCATGTACAAATGCTTAGGATTTTTTAAATTGAGTACGTTGATCATAAACTATAGCACTGAACAGCAAATGAATGTATAAATAAATAATTACAATAAGGTAATTGCATTGCATTAGCTTACTTGTTGGTTTGATGATGATTGTGATGATTCTTGTACGGAAACAATTTTCTTTATGCCCACAAACTGTATATAGTTCTGACATTCAGAGCAGGGTGGTTTCGTGCAATAAAGAACATCATTCTCTTCTATTTTTTTTCTGGATCTGAAAAAAAAAAGCAGCAGCATTTATTTTCTGCAAAAGCAAAACAAGAGATCATGGTGAGGTGTCCCTCAAATAAATCCTAGGACTTTCCCTGAAGAACCGTATTTATTGTTAGTTCTCTCTGTCCCAGATTTCCCATCTCACTTTATTTCTGCCTTTGAGCTTCTCATCATTATACATACACATGTGCACTTATTATTTACAAAAGTAAAGTATTTATGTCTTAACTGAAATCATTCCAGTCTTGTTGGAGTACTCTGTCTTTCCTCTACAGAGAAAATGGCCATAAACTGGCTGGTAGGCCAGTTATAACTACCATCTTTCCCTCAACTGCTGGATGTATAGTCTTCTTGTACTCTCAGGGTACGTCTATACTTACCTCCGGGTTCGGCGGTAAGCAATCCATCTTCTGGGAT